GGCAGCAAGCCATGAGGTACGACGCTTCTGCTGTGCGCTGCAAATGGCACTCCGATTCCTACGTTTGAAAGAAGACATTGAACGGTCAATCTGGGAGGGCAAAGTCGGTATCTATAAACTTTTATTCTTGCAAAAGCTCCCACTGGAATATTAGGCATCAATTTCTTGCAGCTTTATGAATTGATTGTCGATTCACGTAGACTGCAATTGATTAACCCGACTTCAAATATCAAATTCACGGGTCTCAAAGCCTGCAAAGACGTTTACCGAATCACGGGTTCAATGCCTGATATTTCTGCACATTTCCAACCATTGGTTGCCTGGTTGCCCAGGTTGACTAAACCCATCGAGGATTTGACACTAACGACTGATCGTAGTGCACACTACTTAGTCACCAACGGTCCACCTGTCACGGTACGACCTCACCGACTGGCGCCGGACAAGTTTGCTTTGGCTAAGAACGAGTTTGACATGTTACTTTCAAAAGGTATCGTACGTGCTTGTTATAGTCTGTGGCCTCTTCTCTACCCATGGTTCTTAAAAAGACAGCATCAGCGGAAGACCATGTGGCGATTATCGGTCACTTAACGCAGTGACTCGTTTCGATAGTTATCCCATCCCACATATACACGAAATTACGGCTTCACTTCATGGCACGACTATCTCTTCTAAGATCGATCTGTTACAAGCTTATAATCAGATCGCAGTCACCACTGGAGGTGTCCAAAAGACTGCTGTTGCGACTCCTTTCGGTCTGCTGGAGTTCCTACGTATACCTTTTGGACTTGCGAAACGCTGCTCAGACTTTTCAGAGTTTATCAACAGTTTGCTTCGTCTAATGTAGGTGAACCTTAGCACAAATCAGACGTTCTAAGAATGACCGATTTTAAAATTTATTATAAACAAAGTGATATCGAATTTCACTGAATTGAATAGGTTTTGCTTTCGGCTAATTTTGAGTCATTCTCTTAAAGTAAATTTGTTTTAATTAACCTCATCTGACTTTATCCAGAAAAGATAAATACTGCAACTGTAACGGCAACAGTCAGCGGACGGTCAGTGGCTTATGTGTTTGTTCTATTGTCTGCCATAATCCCTCTCTGTCTGCTCTTTCCTTCCACAGGCAGCCAGATCGCCTGCGTCGGGGCGGGCTATCAGCAATCACAGCCAGAAGAACCGAACTGTACACACGAACAATCAGCAGTCCCCACAAATGATCCCCCTTGTACAACCCCGAATGATGATTGATTGACTTGTCCCAAATACACGCTATCCCACGGTCGTCTGTCTTCTCGCTGTCGTGTATCGATCGAGAACGTGGTGTTTGCCGGTTGCCTTATTCGTATATCGAGTTGTAACTGCAACTATTGTGCTCACTGTTTCAGAGTCGTGCGGACCAACGCGCCTTTCCAGACCTACTTCCCTTGCGCATAACAAATTTGGCGATGGGGATGGGATCGAAAAGTCCAGTTCCGGTTCAGAGCAGTCGGAGATCGAAGAACTCACCCAGGATGTTCACACTCGATTGACATATTTCCCCGTTCCGAGTGGCAGCTTACCACGCTTGGAACCCCCACCAGTGTTTGATGTAGGAGCAAACCTGCGGCGTTTCCGCCGGAAGATGTGTCGCTACTTGTCTTCACTATCGGGACGAGAGCATTCGGTCTTTGTTTTGGACAGAATCAGCGAAAGACTGCAAGACATTCTGGAGGAGGAAGGTATTGACGACAAATCGCCAGTGGAAGATATCTGGAAAGCCCTCGAAACCTTCTCAGAGGAGCCAACCAATGCCGGCGTACACAAACACACCTTTTGGTGGAGGGTCCAGATGGAAAATGAAACGGTTGGAGAGTACGCCGCCGTCATCAGGGGGCTAGTCCACAAAGCCTTTGGCTCCAGATCGCGGGAGTCGCGCGAGGTGCTGGCCATGGAGCGGTTACAGGACGGGTTGCGGAGTGAGGCTGCCTGACAGGACTTGGCTGGACATCCACCGGCAAGTCTCTTGGAAGCAGTCAGTCGAGGACGGACGTTCGACACCCCGCGGACGACAGAAAGTCGCAATCCTACCCGCTACGTCCAGGAACACACAGCCCGAAGTACACCAGCCCGATCTTCGCCGGTGCCTTCTCACCAGTGGCGACCTGCCCCTTTTAACCGAGGCCAGTGGGGACCGAGACCGAGACCCAGTAACATGCCGCGAGCGCCGGAGCCCTATGGATCGATGAGAAATCAACACGGTGAGTCTCAAAGATTCTCTTCAGTTTTACCACCGGTGTGCATCTTTAACAATACTACCGTCGTACCGCTGTTATTAACCGTAACTATTGGGAGTAAGAATGCCAAGGCCTTAGTCGACACGGGTGCAGCGTGCAGCTTGATCTTCCCCGAGCTATGCCCCAGCGGTATAGATACAGCCAGTGAATTGCAGTTGAAAGCGGTTA